ATTTGGTTTATCATCAATCTTTATTTGATTAATACATTTAACCATTTTTATTTTTTATGAATTCAGGAATAAGATATTCACCTAAATTAATTGTTGGGGTTGATATTGATAAAGAGTTGGTTGGATGTGCAATGGTAAATAAACGTCTAACATATTCTCTTTCAAAACCAACATCTATGTCAACTTCAACACTAAAGAGTGATGGTGATGATGATATCATTGTACGTGATTATTTTCTCCAATCCATACCAGCAATGTTTGGACTTTTGCCTGTTAAAAGTTTTGATGATATAGATTTCAATAATGATCAAGTGAAATTTCCAGATAGTGTTCAGTTTCGATGTTGTGATTGGATGGAGGAGCCTCATTCATACAATAAATATGACACTATTTTGGGGTAAAAGAAAAATTCTTTTATTAATGAACGAACGAAGTTTAATAGATTTATTATATTTACATACAAATGTAATATTTTTGTAGATTAAGTGTATCGAAATGGATTCATTTAAATAGAGGAGATAAAGGTCTCCAAGAATTTTTTCAGAGAATTTATGACAATTTAAGAATTGGAGGGAGATTTATATTTGAACCACAAGCATGGAAATCGTATAGAAAATACAAGGATCTGTCCAAAGTAAGTGTTACTATAATAATCATTTGAAATTTATAAAATGATACTATTATGTTAAAAATATTTTATTTTTCAGACTATAAAAAACAATTATGGTTTGATTAAATTTCGTCCGAAAGAATTTCATGATTATTTAATGAATGTGATCAAATTTAAAGATTCTGAGGAATTTACAATTCCTCAAACCACTTCATTTTCAACGTCTTCCGGTATTTTTTATTAATTTAAATATTGATTTTTTATATTTGTATTTTGATTGATTGATCAATATTAGGAGGCTCAATTGGATATTTCACCGGCTCTTCAACAGCAATTTGCCACAATGTATGAAATTCTTGAGGCAATAAAATTTCAAGAATTAGAGCCCGCATTATCGTAAGTACGACAACACCGCCACCATCATCGATCTTTAATAATTATCTTGGTAATTACAATTACAATAATCATAATTATATAATTAGATGGGCAAAATCAAATCGAGAGGGACTTGAAAAGCGTGGAAGTTCGCTTGAATTTCAGCTTCATCGCCTTCGCTACATCCAATTTTTAATAGACCAACAACATAATGAAGCATTGATGTACGCAAAAAATAATTTTAATTATTTTAATAATCGCCATTTACATGGTAAAATTCATCCTAATTAATCAATTAATTACTTGCTTGATCAAGAAATATTTATAAATGATATTTATTAATACATTTGATAAAATTATTAGAAATACAACGTCTAATGTGTGCATTGGCTTATATTAATCGTTTACAATCATCGCCTTACGCTGATTTATTATCTACGGACGCATGGACAAATATTGAACACATATTCACAAGAGATTTTTGTAATTTATTAGGAATGTCATATGAAAGTCCACTATTTATAAGGTATTCGACAT